ATAAAAGATTTAACAAATTAAAGAAGAAAAAAATTGCAGGTAAAAAAAAAGTTATTATAAAGTTTTTTAATTAAATTGAAATAATTAAAAATAAATTTTATTTAATTAAAATTTAAAAAATGATAAAATGAATAGAATTTTAAATCAAAAAATAAATTATTTATAATATGAAGTATTTTTTAAAAAATATAATAAAAATTAAACAAGTTAAAAAATAGTTATTAGAATAAAATAAAGAATATATAAATATTATTTAATTAAAAATAAAAATTAAATTTTATCATAACAAAAAAAAAAAAAAATTTAGTCTCCTTTCAAATGAAAGAATTCAAACTTTCGAAAAGAAAGATTATCTTTGTTTCTCTTAGTGGATGGAGGAGAAAAAAAAATTTCCTTATTTATTTTTTTAAATTTTTTTCTTATTATAAATAATATTTTCAATTTAAAACTGTTTTTAATTCTCTTTTTCTTTATTATTAAACTTAATTTTTCAATTTTAATTAAATAATATTTATATATTCTTTATTTAACTTTTGTAACTTTGTTTTCTTATATATTTTTTGAAAATTGTTTTGAAATTTCTTTTTTCTTCATATTATAAGTGAATAATTTTTTATTCGATTTAAATTTTTTTTGTTTTATAATACAACGTAATTTGATCAATTTTAATTAAATATTATTTATTTTTAATTATAATTATTTCAATTTAACTAAAAAAAACTTTATAATAACCTTTTTCTCATTTTTTTATTTTTATTTTTGCCTGCCGTTCTTTTTTTTCTTTAATTTGTTAAATCATTTAATTTCTTTAATTCTTAAAAGATTAGAACCTCAAATTAAAAATAATCTATATTTAAAACAAATTATTTCAAAAAAAAAAAAAATGATCCACCTATTAAGAGGCAGAGGATGAAGAAAAAGCAGAGTGGAAGGCAACTCCACTGGCACTATAGTTGTAATATTTTCACATAATCCATTTATTATCACACCCTAAAAGATAACAAAAATCATGCACTAGCACCACAGACAGTGTATTAAATATACAAAAAAAGAACATACCTAAACTCCAATTTCTTTCGAAATTTCACGGTATTTTGGGAGCGATTTGTTCAATCTCCCAAAAAAAAATCAAGATCTAACAGTAAAATATACAACAGAAGAAATTGAAGGTTTAAAGATTGGGTATACAGGTAATCGTCTCAATTGTGCATGAAGTTCTTGGGTGTTTTTGGAGCAATCGAGAGATGGAGATTGAATTTAAGGTTAAAGGTCGAGAGAAATCAGTATCGTAGCAACTCGGATTAAGAGTGAAATTAGGGTTAAATGCAAAAAAAATTGTATTTTAAACGAACAAAATTAAGAAGTATTTTAAATCGGAAAAAAATATTTATTCAAAAAAATATAATAAAAACAAAATAAAAGAAAGTTACAAAAATTAAATAAAGAATATGTAAATATTATTTAGTTAAAATTGAAAAATGAAGTTTTATTATGAAGAGAAGAGAGTTCAAAGGCATTTTAAACTGAAAAAAAAATTATTTTTATAATATAAAAAAAAAAACTATATATCGCCAAATGTCTCCATGCACTGTCTCAGTGCATAGACAATGCCTCCGTGCATGGAGAGTTAGATATGAGATTTTTTTTTGTTGCTGTGTAGTGTTACGTTATAAATAAATTTTTTTCAATTTAAAATTATTTTTAATTCTTTTCTCTTCAAATTTTTTATTTATAAGTAACTTTTTGTAAAATATTTTCTTTCTTATATTATCTTTATTTATTTTTATATAAAAGTGATTTTTTTCTTATATCCATACTATATATATCTATATAAAAGTGGTTGAGCACGGATTGGCGGAAGGAATGGAAATTGTGTATTGCAGTATTTTCTTACTGTATAATAAAATATATATCAAACAAGGCAAACGACGTCGTTTTGCTCCTCACTTAAAAAAAATAAAAATAAAAATAAAAATAAAAAAAATAAAAAAAGCTATATTGAGACAAAATAAATTAAGTCACTGGTGCTTTCTAGAGTGTCTCCACATTTAACTTTTTATATAGTAAGGACATAATGCTGAGAACGACCTTGAACTTTTTGAAAATTTGGGGAGCCAGTAGTAATAGTTTATTAAGGTTGGAGAACCAACATAACAATTTTCTTATTTTTTATCTTCCAAGATGATTGCCTTTCTTCATTTTTCCCCCTTTTTTGTCCCCAATGTTCCTTACCATTAACAAGAAACATTAAAGAGAAAAAATTTCTATTAAGTAACACTTGAACGATTTTCACTTTTCTCTTCATGGTGTTGCAGAATTAAATATTTTGCACATTCAAATAATTATATTATGAGAATAATATTTCATAGTTTATCTGAAAAATTACTTTTCAGAAACTATTTTGCAAGTTTTAAAATATTTAGAACCAACTTAAACTTCTTGAAAATTTGGGGACCAAATATAAATAGTTTATTAAGGTTAATGACCAGCACTGCAATTTTTCTTATTTTTTGAAGGCTCCAAGGATGCAACCATTTCGATTAAATTGGTTCAGTTCGATCCCAAAAATCATTGAGTACCTCTCGCACAAAAGACTGGAGTGGGAAATGAAGTCAGAGGGAAATGTAGCCAAGAGGTGGGCACTTGACTGTTTCTGTGGGTCCAAGGACTATAAGCTCACTTGAATGTGGTATGTGAAAAATCTCACATTAGGAGACCAAGTGCTCCTCGATTATTATTGATACGAATACGAATGCCGCCTATTGGACCTTAGAAGTTGTCCTATTCCTTTTGGCGACCACATCAGAACAGATAATAATTCATTAGCAAGAATCAATAAAATGCCAAATCAAAATGTGTCATATTCTGATGGCCAATAATAGTCTAATAATGCACAAGCATACTGTTTGACAATATTTCAATAATTTACGGGCAGTTTCTTAAACAATTTATGCTTTTAAATCTAGTATTTCTGCGTAGTATCATACCATACAAATTTCGTATATTAAACTTTCATAACCACCCATACATTTAATGAAATTTTTCATGATTCAAAAACTTTTATATTAGTTGTTGTGGGTGCACCGCATCGCACCTTCTCTTAACTTAAAGATGTTAACTGTGCACCGGTTATTGTTGGTTATATGGTCACAAAATAGTGTTGAATATTTGTTCAAAATTAATAGAATGATAATAGGCTAATTATTGGGCTCAATTGTGGAATCAATGGAATCTAAAGAAATTGAAAAATAGAAAATTTGATTTTTGCGTATAGGCTTAATTTTGTACGTACATGAGATGTGTTTTGATTAAAATAAAATAAAATTTGCTTCTGCTATGCATACGCATAGTGTTAAAAAAATTCTCGTTAGCTGATTTTTCAATTTGAAACCTAGAGACCGTTTTGGATTAAAAATTGTCACTTTTCATCATGTTTTGGCACCATTTTGTGGTGTATTGATTAAGACCTATAAATATATGATGAATGATCAATACAAACACATTAGAAACATTGAAAAAATCTTAAGATCCACATATCATTCCATATTAAATCAAACTATTGATTTACATTCATATTCATTATTTTCCTTAGTGTTCTTAAAATTTTGGAGGATTGCATTTGTACTTTGGTGTTAAATCCTTTACAATGCTTGATATAATCCTACAAAATGTATGCCAAAACCCTTAAGCATCTCATTCAATCCCGAAAGGGAGCAAATATCGTTTAAGGACAACGATCCCGCGTTCGAGCCTTCGAATTTGTTCTTAACAACTTTCTAGATTCTTCATCTTGTTGCTGTAATTTTTTGTTATTCCTTTTGTCTCTTCTCCAAACCCCCTTGTTTCCAACAAATAGTGCATTTATTCATTCTGTATGTGTACACTTACGATAATTGGAAATTCATGTATTACGTACGGATTATGTTAGGGGGTAAAATAGAATAGAGATAATTCATCTAACTTGTAAATGCTAGTCGTACAAGTCATCTATGCCATGTAGCACCATGATAGCAGAAAAATATTCCCGTTATTTTATTTTCAATGTCAAAATGTTTGAAGAGTATGGTAAGCTATTGGATTCTGTACAACTTCGTTGGGAAAATTTAACTTTGTAACATCGACATAACTATGGTCACTTATGAGAAACTATAAGAGTTACTTAAATTTTCAACATTAAGTCCGTATAACTAAAAAAACTACGTTTAGCGCAGGTAGATTCTCATAATATATTTGTGAAAATTGATTTTTGGGAGAATGTCTAGTTAAAAGGTAGGAAAAAATTATGAATATATACATAAATTTATTTTATTTAAAAAAGATGTATATTAGAAAATAAGTTTAGAGAGAATGAATTTTAAATAATCTCTACCGAACTAATAGGGACTTAACTATGAGTCAGTTTATTGAGTTATTAAACAATCAACTGCACTAAATGTCATATAGTATTAATGACATTTGAATAGGTAGGTAGTGTACTAAGCATGTTTAACCAAGCTTAAAAGATATAAGTAATTTTAATCCACTTTTAAACTTAGGCAAGCATGCCATAAAATGAAGAATATATGAACTGCTACAGGTTTCAAGTATATTCTCTCATCTTGATTACAATTTCTCTTTGATCTGCATTTGCTTCCTTTCAATTCCCATAACAAATTTCAATAGGGATTCCTTCTAAGCACAAATGGCGGAATTGCTCGGAGGGGCAGCTTTTGATCTTCTAATGAAAGCTGTTTCAGACGTAGCCTTGACAGTAGCCAGTTTCAGGTCTGAACTCAACCACTTAAAAGGAACTCTGACTTCAATCAAGCCATTTGTCGAGGACATAGAGAAGATGAACGGAGTGCTAGACTACCGACAAGAAGGAGCAGAGACGCTCAATAATCGGTTTGAACAAGGCGAAAAGCTCGTTCGGGAGTGCTTGAAAATCAAGCGGTGGAATCCAATCCAGAAGTATTTGTACGCGAAGAAACTGAAAGAATTTGAAAGGTCGTTGTTGTGGTATTTTCAGATAAATGTACAGGCTGAGTTGGCTAGAGATGGCAAAAATATTTCTGTTGGAGTAAATTTTCTTCAGGAGAAAATGGATAAGGTAATTTCTATTCAAAATAATGATAGTGGGTTTTCAGGTACTACTCTCCCGTCCTAGATAAGATTGTAATTAGTTTGTAAAAATGAATAAAAAAACTTCCCTTACATTGTGGTTTGATTAACAAAAAAAGGGGTTTTCAGGTTGGTGTGGTGTTCCTGAAGTTCCGGATTTTGTGGTTGGACTAGACGTGCTGCTTCAGGAAATGAAGGCCATGCTTCTAAAGGATGAAGTGCCAATTGTTGTGCTTTCGGCTCCTGATGGCTACGGCAAGACTACACTAGCGAAATTGCTCTGTAATGATGATGAAATTAGAGGTAACCAGTGAGTTTAATATTAAAGATTCTTGATTTTCGTTGCTTTTTCTTTTCCTAATTGGCATTTTTCCAAATACTTGCAATCTCTTCATGAAAAAGAGTGGTTTATTAAGAGGTTGGTGTTTCTTGTGAAGTGTTCTTTAAGCTTTATAAGAACAGGAAATCACAAGAAGATTGTTTGAGCAAGAACCCAAAACGGATTAGTCTTATGTTTGCAGAAGGAGTCAAAATTGTTCAGTCTTTAGAGTAGTCTATACTTGTTCTTTGTTTTGGGATACCTTGAATAATGCACCAATTGTGAAGATATACATGAGTTTTTGCCGACAGAATCTTATCCCTTGAACTTTGGCAATACTCTCCTTTATGCTCATGTAATTCTTGATTATCTAACGTTTTGCATAGGTATATATGGTAATAATATCTTCTTTCAGACAGTTTCAAAATCAGCTAACCTCCAGCTAATGGTTCAAAAAGTAATTCAGAGTAACAAAAACCAGAAGCCGCCTATTTTTCAAAGTGATGAAGATGCAATATACCAATTAGAACAGTTTTTCCAACAGCAAATAAGACCAGCTCCCATACTATTAGTCCTGGTCGATATGTGGTCAGGATCCGAGTCACTCATTGATGAATTCCTTCTTCCAATACGTGGATATAAAATCTTGGTTACATCGAGATTTGAGTTTCCACAATTTGAATGGACTTATCAATTGAATATGCTGAATCATCAAGATGCAATGACTCTATTTCAACATTATGCCTTTAAAGATGGGATCTGCACTGTGCAAAAACATCTTGTAGAAGAGGTAAAAGTATTATCTCAGCCAAAATGTGTCTTCAGAGCATTGTACCAGAAATATCAATATTGAACATAGTTCGTTTTTCTGTATGTAGTTCAATTTTCCATCATATTTTCAAAGCATTTTACTCTAGCAGAATCATTATACTACACCTAGAGTAACAAATTTTTATTTCAGAACTCATTTTATTAGGTTAAGATGTAAAAAAAATTTTGAACGGAGATGTAAATAATTTTCAACGGATTTTTTAGAAATTTATTTACTATATCTACTTTAAAACTTAACTGATGTTGCTCTTTGAATCTCATGGCAGGTGGTCAGAGGTTGCTCAGGATCTCCATTAGCCCTTACAGTTGTAGGTAAGTCACTCTATAGGCAGCCTGAGGTGAAGTGGATTAGTACAGTTCAAAATTGGTCCCAAGGGCAATCCACACTACAAGAAAAAATAGCATTTTACAATGGCCAGAATTTGTTGCCATAGGCTGCAAGTTGCATACTTTGATGCTTTACCTATGTGCATTGCTCGTTTCATTACTTGTTTTAGCATTTGCAAGTAGCCCTTACTCTTCAAGTAAATTCATTTGCAAGTATATCAAATCGTTTGTTTGAGCAGACCAATCTTGCAATCCGTTGTTCATTACTTGAGACTTATAATCGGATCGAATCGCTCATTAGAGTTTAGTGGGCTCTAATACCATGTTAAGATTTGTGGTTCATCTTAATAAGGTTGACCTTATTAAGATGGACCCCAAGTCCTTATTAAGAGGAGTGGCCCAAGATATATTTAAGTTGATCAATATTTTGATATTTAATCGATATGAGATTTATTCCCTTAACATGCCCTCGCAAGATGATGGCTCTTTTTTAGCGGACCAATCTTGAAATTCGTGTGCTCATTTTTTAGATTTAATCCGATCGAATAGCTCGTTGGAGCTTATTGGGCTCTGATACCATGTTAAGATTTGGGGTCCATCTTAATAAGGTCAACCTTGTTAAAAGAAGTAGTACAAAATCTTTTTAAGTTGATCAATATTTCGGTATTTAACCAATGTGAGATTTTTATCCCTTAACATCGTACAGCCATGTTGTGATTTTTTTATTTCTTGAAACTAATTATCTAAATTAATCTAATTAGAAACTAAGGCACGCTTGTGAAATTGATTAAAAATATGTAGTAAGATTTCGAGTCTCCCATTATTAATACATTTTAATACAATTCCAACATTAACGACACTTGTTTATACTTGTTCATTAATGTTCCTATTTTGTTTTCCAATTTCTCTCAAATAGAATTAAACATATCATCATATATGATCATCATTTATCGATAATATATTAAATATCAAGTTGTTTATACTTTTTACAAGTGCACAATAATTTAATTGAATAAAATGTCTCCTCCTTTTATTTGTTGTTATACTTTTTTCTCCAACTTTATCTTGTCTCTGGTGATAGTTTTTATCCAAATATTCTATTAATATATATATATATAT